AGCCAGAAACCTATGGTTGTGGATTTGAATCCCGGATCGCCCCGACTATGTTTCTAGCTAGTCAGCTTTATACCCGTGCTGGTGGGTTATACCAAGTGTTAAACGCCCGAAGGCTGCATTACTTCGGCTTTCCTCTCACATTTGGCTGACACGCCGTGATGTAACTGGTATACTGCTAAAAGCTGTCACTGACTCTTAATGAAGATGGAAAGCATTTTTGTCTCTTTTATTTAAGTCATTGTCATTGTTAGAGCTCACATATATATTGATACTGTATCGTGTTACTTAGTTATACTGAACTCGGTTATAACATGAACCGCTTCTCCAAATAATCAAGCGGGGCCTTGCCTTAATATCTTCAGTTGCTTTTCCGTAATACATATGTAGCTGCCACAAAATTTCCGAATCCCCTTATGGGATTCGAACCACGGACCTTCTGATCAGAAGTCGGACGCCTTGTCCACATGAGCAAAGAGGTAAGTTCACAAGGTAAGGATGTCTTCTGTTGGATGACTCCACGTCCTGCTTCATACTTTCCCGTCAACAGAAGGCACGTCCCGGGCCGCATAGTAGGGTACAGAGTCTTATTTCGCTCAAATTTAATATGAACGTCCCACGTTGGGCGCCAATGTAGCGGCTATAACATTTTCGAGTCCCTTGATGGGATTCGAACCACGGACCTTATGATCAGAGGTCGGACGCCTTGTCCACATGACCAAAGAGGTTAATCTCGTCAGCAAGCTGACAAGGTAAGGATGCCATCTGTGGGATGACTCGACGTCCTGCTACACGTAGCTGACGCCGAATGATGCGTATCTTATACGTATCTGCTGCGCGTGACTTTGATACGTATTCGCCATCGCGTGGCCTCGCTACATGTATGTAATTACGAGGCCAGGCCATGACTAAAATCGCGCGCCCAATAGCCGTGACACGACAATAACGCATTGCTGCCTTGATACGTGTCAGACGTGGCCAGACCGTGGTGTCGTGTTGCCGTGAACCGTATCTGAATTGTGAAAATGTTATTGACATCAAACCGACGGCGCACCTCCTCAGGATACACGGTTATATGGCGCTAGCTCACACCAGGAGCTGTATTCTTCATAATATTTCACTGCAATGATTGATTTACAGACAAAACCCCAAGAGTCGTGTATTTCCAAAGCGTCTGTAGTCTTATCTGCGTAATGGTATTCGACAAGAAGGAATTATCATTCCTACTTGAGAATGTAGGAATGATATGGTTCATAGCGGCAGTGGTGGTGATGGCGATGGTAGTAACGGTGGTGGTGGTTAAATGTTGTTGTGTGGTTGTCTGTAGCGATATTAGTGGCATATCAATGGCAGGGGTATTCCTTGTAATGGTTAGGTGATACCGGCGCCTTACTCTTGCACCGGCACTTTTTCTCCGTAATGGTACAGGTGGTTGTAGTGTTGGTTGGTAAGAAGGGAAAGTGGCAGTGATACTGGAATTTTGGCGCTGGCTGTTGCGGTGATGGCGAAGCCATGAGGTGGTAGCCTTATTAATGGTGCTGGAGATGAACTGGCGGTTGTAGTGACGGTGAGGTGGGGAGTGGTAGCGTTAGCAATGACGTTGGAGGTGTAGTCGTTGTATTGATGGTAAGGTGGGGAGTGATGACGATGGAGATGTAGTCGTCGTTGTAGTGATGGCGAGGTGGGGAGTGATAACGTTGGTGATGTAGTCGTCGTTGTATTGATAGTGAGGTTGGGAGTGATGACGGTGGAGATGAAGTCGTCGTTGTAGTGATGGCGGGGTGGGGAGTGATAACAGTGGTGATGTAGTCGTCGTTGTATTGATGGTGAGGTTGGGAGTGATGACGGTGGAGGTGTAGTCGTCGTTGTATTGATGGCTAGGTTGGGGGTGATGACGGTGAAGATGTAGTCGTCGTTGTAGTGATGGCGAGTGGGGAGTGATAACGGTGGTGATGTAGTCGTCGTTGTATTGATGGTGAGGTTGGGAGTGATGACGGTGGAGATGTAGTCGTCGTTGTATTGATGGTGAGATGGGGAGAGATGACGGTGGAGATGTCGTCGTTGTTGTATTGATGGTGAGATGGGGAGAGATGACGGTGGAGATGTAGTCGTCGTTGTATTGATGGTGAGGTTGGGAGTGATGACGGTGGAGATGTAGTCGTCGTTGTATTGATGGTGAGATGGGGAGAGATGACGGTGGAGATGTCGTCGTCGTTGTTGTGATGGTAGCGGTTCTAATGATTTACTACATACGTTCAACGCTCCAGTTGCCCTGTTACAAAGTACCTTCTTTGATCTGTAACGATAATCTATTACGTGTTCTAGTATCCAATATGTATGCAGCGGGATATGATACAATAATGATTTCAAAGTTTGCAATGAAGGATAACTGCTGCATATATTCCAGCGAGACTTATTTAGTTATTTCAACACACCAGACTTTATTCATATATTCACGCGAAAGGCCCTGTCTACCCCTCCTCACATTAACGATCTCTCGGTACCAGCTGTTGGGAGAAGTACATGCTTCATTACTGAAGCCCCTCTGATCTCATGGCGCAATACTCTAAAGACATAACTCTCTCTTCACGACAGTCTCAGATGCAGGGAACAGAGGTGCCAGACCCCGGCTACTTATGTCAGCTGACTCTAGAACATGTTGTCGTGATGCTGGTATTTTCGTGGTTAGGCGTCGCGTTTGTCCGTCAACTGATTCCACATAGATGCCCCATCTGATTCCTTCCCTGTTTGATACCAGCTGTTGAGTCATCACCAAAATAGACTTCACTGTCTCGCTTCTGTGGTCGCACTTGGTCTCCCCCTTGTCATATTCTGCGGTAATTAACTCGTGTCTAGGTTATATCCATAGGAATCCCTCTTAAATACTGACTCGACCTCACGCTGCGAGATCTGAAAAACGGTTAAATCTGCTTTATCGTCGGGGTTTTGTCGCGAAGGCTTTCAATTCGTTGATGTCGACCTTGCCCACACATTCATCATCTGTGGCAGGGTTTCCAAAGGTTGCTCATATATGTCTTCTATGCTGTGTATTCCCTGCTGAATCAACCAAAGGTTAAAGTAGCGAACTAATCTTGTATCCATGCACTTACTGGAGTATGTTGTTCTACACCTTATAATCTGATTAGTTCACCAGTGCGTGTCATAGCGGACGTGCACTGGTTGATGCCTTGTGTCTATTTATCACTCCAGAACGCAGATCTAGCTGAAGCCTTAAACATTTAAGATTGTTGGAAATGTTTCTGTTTTATCCATGCGATACCCTTAGTCATATGGATACTGTAAACAGCTTTATTTCTGCGCCGTTAAAATATTGCGAATACCACACCAAAGACAATACTGCGACGAGATATTATTGCGTTTTGCGAGTTGCCGTGTTGAGATGACCTCTCGATTATTAGTTAATCTGAGTTGGCCGGATAGTTGACCAGAAGGGATTGCGACCAATTATCAAATACGATAATTGACTAAACTCAGTGTCATGACTGTGAGTTTGAATGCAAACAAAATTGTGGACAAAATTGCAAAGGACACTGACGCAATCAAGCGAGGTTGGAAGAAGGCAGGATTACTGTGAGGTAACAGTGACACTGATTGGTCTGTTTACACTGTCATTTGTGATGTATTGTGTGACCATTCTGCATTCATTTGTGTTTTTAACTTATTGAGTAACTTGTGGTTCTGGTTGATGATTTCAACATTTGATGACGTGTTGCAATGAATAAAGTATGTATGTATTATTTATACTTATTTTTGCGTTTTTAATTTTTGCGATTGAGTCTCGTTTGCAAAACTCGCAATAATAAAACGGTCGCAAAAAATTCCCTGTTTACAGTATACCATTTTAGGCCGGGGAGCGGGTATTAGTGTATAAAGTCAATGTATGACAGGACGACTCGCTCTGAACTTTAAGTAATGTTTCGTCCCTCGCATGTACTCGCACAATTTAATGATGGACTAACATGGACAACAATCGATTCCCTCCCAATTTATAGGTATTTATGAAGCAAGCAACTCTAGGCAAATTATGGTAGATGCTAACAGGAAATAGATGGGTGTTTGTCTTTCTATATTCGGGGGTTTTATGGGTATTTTCATCCTCCGTCATTCTGTCCTTCAGTCTGTAATCATTTCGTTTCCGGAGAATTCCAGGATAAGGAATCTACAAAATGGATTTACGCACAGCATTACCCATCACATATATCAGGTGGTGAATTTTGGCGATATAGGGATTTTGAAATTTGCATTTTTCTTTGTTTCCCTGGAATCAGGTTGGTTTCAAATGAATCCTGATTTATTTGGGGGAACATGTTTAAATCCATCAATATTTTATATGCCCATTGGAATTTGGAATGGTCGTGGGGACACGTCATGTTCTTTGATGCTCTTGTTTGTGTTTGACCTTTGGACTTATACCTTATGTTAATCAACCAACTGAGGCAATATACAAACTCAGCTGGACCCATCCAGATCCAGTCGTGTTGGCTACCTTAACTCTAGGGCAGTCACTTGGAAAATCATTTTGAAAAAATCTACTTCAGTGAGATGTTTTATTTGTGTTGTGCACGGCTGTGTAGCTGTGTAACTTGTCTGAGGTATTCTATTTGTGTTATGCATACTTGTGTAGTTGTGGGACTTGTGTGAGTCATTCTATTTGTAATGCATACTTGTGTCCTTGTGAAATTTGTGTGTGTTTAAGCATGCGAGTGTAGTTTTGACACAAATGCGAGTTATTCTATTTGTGTTATGTAGACTGTGTAGTTGTGACGCTTATGTAAGTTAATTATTCTACATGTATTTGTGGGATGCATACTTATGTAGTTTGACACATGTGCGCTCAGTCTTAAAACGTCTGGACATATCTTGAAGGAAATCTACCAGGCAATGTTCAGTAGCCTGTTTTGCCAACATGCCCTACCACGTTGGGTTCTAGGAGCACGTGATTTTGTATTTTTACCTGAACTAAACCCAGTTTTCTCTTTCAGCTGATCACGACATTGAAGACACATGTCACTCAGACATTCGCATCCGCAACATGAGGCCGGAACAGTCTGAAACCGAGAGTTCGGCAGATCCTCTACACATCTCCACATTAAATGATGACGTAGAACGCAGAGACGATGTGCCCGTGTTAGCTTGTGAGAATGGTTTGTGGAATGGTGTTCACCCTAAACCGAAAAAGCAACATTATGTTATAAAGAAGAGATTCTGGAATATGCGACGCCCCGAGAAGTGTCGAGAGGCTACCATCCTGACGACTGGGATTGTGTTGACGTGCATAGCACTGGGCTTGATCGTGGCGGGGTCGGCGAGGTTGCGAGAGTGTCAAACGTTCACCATGGTGAGGGTATGTGCTGCTTTATATAGATACGACATGAACCAAATGTGATTTTGTTTGTTCGGAATTCAATGCCATCCGTTCCCATTTTAGGGCAACATTGTATGCTAGGGATCTGTTTGTAGGCGACTATGCTTGTCGTAAGAGGCGACCGGGTGGTCACGCTGGCTGACTTGGTTAATGCATGCCATCGTATCCCAATTGGGCAGATCGATGTTCATGATGTCAATCACTGGATTGTCTGGTCCAGACTCGATTATTAACATACTGCCATCATAAGCTGGAACACTGCTGAGTGCGGCGTTCAACACCAAACAAACAAACAAACAAACATATAGTATACTGACAAAGCGAACAATGCTCATTGTTCTGGTACCTTCTCTGCATGCACCGGATGCCCAGTAGGTTTAAGGCGCCGTAATTCCCTTGAGTTGAGCTCCTTAACCGTGCCAACATCCGGTGATCTTGGGTTCGAATCCCAGAGTCGCCCCTTAATGATCTCGGGTGTTCAGCACCATATCCGTGGTTTTAGGTTTCACCAAAGTGGAAAACATGAATAAGCGCCCTGCGCAAATCTACTTCTCACAACTACTTGTCATGCAGCTAAATATATGAAATTCTGTTCAAAGCGCCATTAAACCAACCAGCTGCTGTTATGCAAACAGCAGAAAGCCCGACACATAATCTGATATCTGAATCATCCTTGTGATGAGGCGCCTGATTGTTTTATCAGCTCTTCAAAACATACAGCTGAGCTATAATGGCTGTATTAAAGCCTTCACCATTCCATTAATCTGAAAATACTCAGGTTTCCTGACACAAGGAAATGGCTTTTACGATAATTAACTAGAAGAACGGAATATTCTCCAACATTAGGTAATTGCTTGCAGATAATTATCATCATCATCATCATCATCATCATCATCATAATAATAATAATAATAAAAATAATAATGTGATTGACAAGATTGAGGAAAAACATGGCAAATATGCAGACCTCGCTTTCGAAATGTCAGACTTGCATCCCAAGTACCAAGTTGTCCGACTCCCCATTGTTCTCGGTGCCTTAGGTTTGGTACCTCCCAATCGACTAACATCGGGAGAGTACCCGGGTTTGCTACCAGGAATACAGGCCTTCTGACAATCTGGGTAATGCAGAAGACTGCGGTGTTGGGGAGTCTTCACATTATCCGAAAAGTTCTGGGTGGGTTTGACTAGGCAGCGCTTGCTGGGCTGCGTGCAGAGGGGGCATGGGCCCTGACTGATGACTAGCCTAACCAGCCTGACTGCCAGGATCACCCAAACCCTCTTTGCTGCATTTTTTATTTAATTTGTAAATAATAATAATGATGATGATGATGATGATGATGATGATGATGATGATGATGATGATGATGCAGTACACAATTCACACATTAATCGGAATTGTCCTTACCAATAACATGTCGGACTCTGAATAAAGATTGATGATGCGGTAACATGGACTACAAAAACATCATCACTGGATTTAAATCCTTAAAGGGTCAAATTATGTGAAATAGTCACAATAGGGATTGTGGAACAAAGTTGTTCCAAGGACGAGATATCGTTCGTGACAGTCGACACAAATGAGGGTCGGGTGGTCACAATGTGTGGATTGACCGGATGTGAGTGTATCCCGACGGCGAATATCTTATCGCTGTATAGAACGAGCGTTAATGCTGGTTGTGTATTTATATAATGGATTGCAATTGACAATTGTCTTCATGCCGATGGCAGTATGTTGATGCCATGTTTAAATATCACTCTGGGCTATGACTAGTGTCGATCGACATAATGCATTGAAAAAAACATAGAATGAACAATGATGAATATGAACTTTACAATTCGTTTTTCAAAATACAAGGTTAAATTCGTTGTGCTGGGCCATAGTCGGTGCTACCTCCTTGCAACCTTCCTAGCAGTCTTACGAACCTTGGACATATTAGCCTTTAACGTGAAATCAAATAAACCCATTTCTGGAAAGTAGTGTAATCAGGACATGAGTGAGTGAGTGAATATGGTTTTACGCTGTTTTTAGCAATATTCCAGCAGTTTCACGGTGGGGACACTAGACTTTACCGCCAGGCTACCTCACTGTCCCTAGCATATACATGTAGCAGGGCGTGGAGTCATCCCACAGATGACATCCTTACCTTGTCAGCTTGCTGACGGGGTTAACCTCTTTGGTCATGTGGACAAGGCGTCCGACCTCTTATCAGAAGGTCCGTGGTTCGAATCCCATCACGGGACTCGGAAATTTTATGGCCGCTACATTGGCGCCCAACGTGGGGCTGAGCACGTTCATATTAAATTTGAGCAAAATAAGCCTCAGTACCCTACTATGCGGCCCGGGACGTGCCTTCTGTTGACGGGGGAGTATGTAGCAGGGCGTGGAGTCATCCCACAGATGACATCCTTACCTTGTCAGCTTGCTGACGGGGTTAACCTCTTTGGTCATGTGGACAAGGCGTCCGACCTCTTATCAGAAGGTCCGTGGTTCGAATCCCATCACGGGACTCGGAAATTTTATGGCCGCTACATTGGCGCCCAACGTGGGGCTGAGCACGTTCATATTAAATTTGAGCAAAATAAGCCTCAGTACCCTACTATGCGGCCCGGGACGTGCCTTCTGTTGACGGGGGAGTATGTAGCAGGGCGTGGAGTCATCCCACAGATGACATCCTTACCTTGTCAGCTTGCTGACGGGGTTAACCTCTTTGGTCATGTGGACAAGGCGTCCGACCTCTTATCAGAAGGTCCGTGGTTCGAATCCCATCACGGGACTCGGAAATTTTATGGCCGCTACATTGGCGCCCAACGTGGGGCTGAGCACGTTCATATTAAATTTGAGCAAAATAAGCCTCAGTACCCTACTATGCGGCCCGGGACGTGCCTTCTGTTGACGGGGGAGTATGTAGCAGGGCGTGGAGTCATCCCACAGATGACATCCTTACCTTGTCAGCTTGCTGACGGGGTTAACCTCTTTGGTCATGTGGACAAGGCGTCCGACCTCTTATCAGAAGGTCCGTGGTTCGAATCCCATCACGGGACTCGGAAATTTTATGGCCGCTACATTGGCGCCCAACGTGGGGCTGAGCACGTTCATATTAAATTTGAGCAAAATAAGCCTCAGTACCCTACTATGCGGCCCGGGACGTGCCTTCTGTTGACGGGGGAGTATGTAGCAGGGCGTGGAGTCATCCCACAGATGACATCCTTACCTTGTCAGCTTGCTGACGGGGTTAACCTCTTTGGTCATGTGGACAAGGCGTCCGACCTCTTATCAGAAGGTCCGTGGTTCGAATCCCATCACGGGACTCGGAAATTTTATGGCCGCTACATTGGCGCCCAACGTGGGGCTGAGCACGTTCATATTAAATTTGAGCAAAATAAGCCTCAGTACCCTACTATGCGGCCCGGGACGTGCCTTCTGTTGACGGGGGAGTATGTAGCAGGGCGTGGAGTCATCCCACAGATGACATCCTTACCTTGTCAGCTTGCTGACGGGGTTAACCTCTTTGGTCATGTGGACAAGGCGTCCGACCTCTTATCAGAAGGTCCGTGGTTCGAATCCCATCACGGGACTCGGAAATTTTATGGCCGCTACATTGGCGCCCAACGTGGGGCTGAGCACGTTCATATTAAATTTGAGCAAAATAAGCCTCAGTACCCTACTATGCGGCCCGGGACGTGCCTTCTGTTGACGGGGGAGTATGTAGCAGGGCGTGGAGTCATCCCACAGATGACATCCTTACCTTGTCAGCTTGCTGACGGGGTTAACCTCTTTGGTCATGTGGACAAGGCGTCCGACCTCTTATCAGAAGGTCCGTGGTTCGAATCCCATCACGGGACTCGGAAATTTTATGGCCGCTACATTGGCGCCCAACGTGGGGCTGAGCACGTTCATATTAAATTTGAGCAAAATAAGCCTCAGTACCCTACTATGCGGCCCGGGACGTGCCTTCTGTTGACGGGGGAGTATGTAGCAGGGCGTGGAGTCATCCCACAGATGACATCCTTACCTTGTCAGCTTGCTGACGGGGTTAACCTCTTTGGTCATGTGGACAAGGCGTCCGACCTCTTATCAGAAGGTCCGTGGTTCGAATCCCATCACGGGACTCGGAAATTTTATGGCCGCTACATTGGCGCCCAACGTGGGGCTGAGCACGTTCATATTAAATTTGAGCAAAATAAGCCTCAGTACCCTACTATGCGGCCCGGGACGTGCCTTCTGTTGACGGGGGAGTATGTAGCAGGGCGTGGAGTCATCCCACAGATGACATCCTTACCTTGTCAGCTTGCTGACGGGGTTAACCTCTTTGGTCATGTGGACAAGGCGTCCGACCTCTTATCAGAAGGTCCGTGGTTCGAATCCCATCACGGGACTCGGAAATTTTATGGCCGCTACATTGGCGCCCAACGTGGGGCTGAGCACGTTCATATTAAATTTGAGCAAAATAAGCCTCAGTACCCTACTATGCGGCCCGGGACGTGCCTTCTGTTGACGGGGGAGTATGTAGCAGGGCGTGGAGTCATCCCACAGATGACATCCTTACCTTGTCAGCTTGCTGACGGGGTTAACCTCTTTGGTCATGTGGACAAGGCGTCCGACCTCTTATCAGAAGGTCCGTGGTTCGAATCCCATCACGGGACTCGGAAATTTTATGGCCGCTACATTGGCGCCCAACGTGGGGCTGAGCACGTTCATATTAAATTTGAGCAAAATAAGCCTCAGTACCCTACTATGCGGCCCGGGACGTGCCTTCTGTTGACGGGGGAGTATGTAGCAGGGCGTGGAGTCATCCCACAGATGACATCCTTACCTTGTCAGCTTGCTGACGGGGTTAACCTCTTTGGTCATGTGGACAAGGCGTCCGACCTCTTATCAGAAGGTCCGTGGTTCGAATCCCATCACGGGACTCGGAAATTTTATGGCCGCTACATTGGCGCCCAACGTGGGGCTGAGCACGTTCATATTAAATTTGAGCAAAATAAGCCTCAGTACCCTACTATGCGGCCCGGGACGTGCCTTCTGTTGACGGGGGAGTATGTAGCAGGGCGTGGAGTCATCCCACAGATGACATCCTTACCTTGTCAGCTTGCTGACGGGGTTAACCTCTTTGGTCATGTGGACAAGGCGTCCGACCTCTTATCAGAAGGTCCGTGGTTCGAATCCCATCACGGGACTCGGAAATTTTATGGCCGCTACATTGGCGCCCAACGTGGGGCTGAGCACGTTCATATTAAATTTGAGCAAAATAAGCCTCAGTACCCTACTATGCGGCCCGGGACGTGCCTTCTGTTGACGGGGGAGTATGTAGCAGGGCGTGGAGTCATCCCACAGATGACATCCTTACCTTGTCAGCTTGCTGACGGGGTTAACCTCTTTGGTCATGTGGACAAGGCGTCCGACCTCTTATCAGAAGGTCCGTGGTTCGAATCCCATCACGGGACTCGGAAATTTTATGGCCGCTACATTGGCGCCCAACGTGGGGCTGAGCACGTTCATATTAAATTTGAGCAAAATAAGCCTCAGTACCCTACTATGCGGCCCGGGACGTGCCTTCTGTTGACGGGGGAGTATGTAGCAGGGCGTGGAGTCATCCCACAGATGACATCCTTACCTTGTCAGCTTGCTGACGGGGTTAACCTCTTTGGTCATGTGGACAAGGCGTCCGACCTCTTATCAGAAGGTCCGTGGTTCGAATCCCATCACGGGACTCGGAAATTTTATGGCCGCTACATTGGCGCCCAACGTGGGGCTGAGCACGTTCATATTAAATTTGAGCAAAATAAGCCTCAGTACCCTACTATGCGGCCCGGGACGTGCCTTCTGTTGACGGGGGAGTATGTAGCAGGGCGTGGAGTCATCCCACAGATGACATCCTTACCTTGTCAGCTTGCTGACGGGGTTAACCTCTTTGGTCATGTGGACAAGGCGTCCGACCTCTTATCAGAAGGTCCGTGGTTCGAATCCCATCACGGGACTCGGAAATTTTATGGCCGCTACATTGGCGCCCAACGTGGGGCTGAGCACGTTCATATTAAATTTGAGCAAAATAAGCCTCAGTACCCTACTATGCGGCCCGGGACGTGCCTTCTGTTGACGGGGGAGTATGTAGCAGGGCGTGGAGTCATCCCACAGATGACATCCTTACCTTGTCAGCTTGCTGACGGGGTTAACCTCTTTGGTCATGTGGACAAGGCGTCCGACCTCTTATCAGAAGGTCCGTGGTTCGAATCCCATCACGGGACTCGGAAATTTTATGGCCGCTACATACATGACATACTTCTACAATACTTTTACACATATTGAGGATTTCTAAGCATTGATATATTCATACTGGTTAAAATGCTACAATAATTAGAGCAAAGTTCATCATCATGTACGTCCCTTAGTTGTTGCATGCTGACCATGATGGAACCCACGCATCAGTAACACTTCAAGGAAGAGAGTTAATCAAAGAACGCACAGTGTCTTAATGTAGCTGTACATGTAACAAGACTAACATATGCTATTGGTACTGTTACAGCTGAAGCATCCTGTCGGAGAAGCCACAATGGAACATATCGGGGACGAGTTCTTCGCGTACAGTGAGTAGTTAATTATAAACACATAATACACTGCATTGACGTTTGTATAAACGCAACACTATCCAAGACGTGACTGCATTGATGACCATTAAAACTTGAAGATTTGTGTGCTCGCTGACCAGTATTGAATGGATGTGACCAAACCATGCAATATATATTGCGTATAGTTGAAATCACGAACAAATCGAGTGTCACATGGTCGTCTGTTTAACTGAAATAGACATATTTGTTTTTATTTTGATGAAACCGACATTTTGAATGATGGTATTGCAAGCATTATAGTGTTCTCTGAAACCGAATTGCCAGGAGAACAAATTCAACATTTGAACAAGCGTAATCAAACCAGACTGGTCACGCAAAAACTGAATTTCCGATATATTTCGCGGTAGCAAATGACAGTATCGGATGCAAAAAGCAATGATCGATAGAGTTTTATGGTTAAAGATAACGAAGCATAAACACGCGGGACCATTGCCAACGAGAGTGATTGGTCTAAGTGGTATGTGATGCAGGATATTAAGGCCCAAGGCATGAACATTTTTAGTCCGATTACTAGGAATTCAAAATCAGGATCAGTTCTGTTAAGAATTACATTTCATGTTTTTAATGGGATTCATACTGAAATTAACGGTAGAGGTTTGCTTGTCATACACAATGATAATGATGAAAGGGTAAAAGTTGGACTTTTGAAACACAACCTTATATAAGTCATTTGATTTAATGTACGCTTTGCGAGGAAGGAGGTCGCCAGCTGTTTCTAACTTAACTCGTGACGGCAACTGTATTGTTTATAAAACCCAACAGAAGTCACTGGGGATTTGAACGCAGCCATCTTAATCCCTTAAGCCGGAACTACGGAAGTTCCGGCGAAATAAGTATTGACTGCGTAATTTCACGAGCTTGTAAGTGGCATTTCAAGCCTGAAGCAAGTTACGGTCATCAGGTTTCCTCCAAACTGTTTACGAATTGCTTCTCACCCGCATAGTTCACATCGTCTTGACGCAATTTTGTCAATGATAACCCCAGGCTTGTAAAAAAGTCTGCAACTCCAGATTTCACGATGAGCCAATTTCCGTAGTAGTTGTCTGGAAGCAGACGACTTTTGCCTGGTCAGCAGCATTATTGACCCCCTGTCGAGACCTGTATCTCCTCCCTCAGTGGTTGTCCGGAGAACGTGCCAACACCACAACATCCGACTATGGCTCATGCACGCCGTACTTGCCTGCGGGTCTTCATTAAGATGGCCATATACCATCGGCGCCACATTCCAACCGTCGAGAAGTCAGACCGCTCACGTTCTTGAGGGAGATATGAATGCTTAGAAGATATAAGCATGGCCGATTGATAGATTTAATACTTAGACCAGACACATTTGAAAGCCATTTATCTTGAGAGGCAATCAATGATTGAGCATTTGGCTCAGGTCAAACCCTAACGTTGATAGGACACTGATTGGGACTCTAGGGCACAGTAAGTTAACACGATGTCAGGGGACACTTTGACGATGTTAGGTACCTTTTTACGGCAATTTCTTTGTGGACTAGGCCTGGTATATGTCCCATTCCGGAACATTGTGGGAGCTATTCGGCTTATATACCAGGACTAAATTCAGTTTCGTTGTTAAACAGCAATATACAGTAATCGAAAAACATATTATCGGAGTCTCACTCATGATGTTGAACCAACGTAAATATATGCGCTCACATTTATTAGTAAACCTGATGCTGTGGCAGACTCGTAACGACCAACATCTTTATACATAGAGTTTGGAATCCTTGACCAGGTAATTCTACACTGCATAATCGGCTAGACATGTATATTGACGTCAGAGGGCTCGGGTGTAGACTTAAATATCGAACCAGATGGAAACACGTTCACGGTTTAATTCAATTCAGTTGACACTAATCTGAAAACATGTACACGGATTAAGAGTAGCAAGATATGTTTTCCAAAGCGTCTACCTGCAATTTGTTTTAAGAAAAGCGACACCCCTCACACATACAACGCCATGGCATGAAGAATTGTTAATCAATAAAACGTATAAACCTCAGAGATAGATGCAATAGCGCACATTATTTGATAGCCGAAGCAACGCTATGATAACCACGATAGAAGCTTTTCCACTAGAACTCGTTTCTCTGACAAATTGTCTGATACTGCAGTAATAAGACAATGTATCATCCTTATACGCAGTCAGCCAAACATAAAAAGTCCAGAGGGAGGCCAAGATAACCTCAACGTAGGCATACTTTGAATATATCAAATCAAATGTTTGCAACCCATGTTTAATTTACTCCGGGGCGATGATGAAATAGCTTTGGTCAACAGCTTCACTCCTCACCCTTGAAGATCATCACCGTTTGACTTACGCGAATCTTTGTCTCACGATAGTCCAACGTAGGCTTACGTTATCAACAGTAGGCATGGTGTACAGGTCTGGGAAGCAGAGATAAGGTCCCTTTCAGAACCACAGGGTGATACATGACTCCGTGTTTCTTGGGGAATAACGTATCACCCATTAGTCATTAGCAACTTGTCCCCACCGAGAGACCAGACTGTCATATGTGTCTTTCATTTCCGAGTGTTTGGGGAGATTTACAGCACTAACGATATTCGGAAAAGTAAGGAATCAGTTGCCCCAGTAACCTCAGGTTTCCATCCTCTAACTTTTGGCCAACACGACCTGGCTTAATTATTTATGGCGATGCCTCTGCGCATCCAAGGAAACGTCACGGCAAGAACATGTCATCCTTTTCCAAACCAAGATAACTTTTTTGTCAAAGGACACTCTTCAAACACAACCCGAGGCGACCCCCTACACGGGAGCGTGATGTTACCAAGCATTGGTGTAGTGTATGTGTATTAGGGTAACTTCTTGACTGTGTAACTGTAATGAAACAATTGTTCTCTGGGGTTCATATTGAAACAGAGAAAGAGAAACACGTGACTCTAGTCAGAGGGGGGCACGGGTGGCCCGGTCGTCTAAGGCGCCGCGATTCGCTGTGCAGAGTTGCGTCCCTTGGGCACGCCAGAAACCTATGATTGTGGGTTCGAATCCCGGTTCGCCCCAATTATGTTTCTAGGTTTGTCAGCACCGAGCACCGAGACCTGCATCACTTCGGGCTTTCCTCCCACATCAAGCTGACACGCCGTGATATAACTGGAATACTGTTAAAAGCGGCGTTAAACCCAACCCACTCACTCTAGTCAGAGGATAAATCAGTGTTGTCATAGTTGAAGTTCGCTTTTTCACATGCATGTGCATGTACTACTTTGATTGGTTATCACATGTTCTGGCTTTTGATATCCACATTATTATTCAGTGGGGAATTTAGGTAAGAATTTGTCTCCATTACGTTGTGTGTTTTCAATGAGGATTGGGTGGTCACAATGTGTTCTCTCAACTGATTTTGTGTCATCGTTTCCCGACGGCGGTGCTCGAGCTATCAACCACTGGTATAAATCAAAAGACAAAATGTAGCAGACGTTAGTTTGGTCACAGATGCGTCTACATGTCTACTACAACACTGCTGAATCCTTGATGACAAACCATATGACACAACTTTTGAGAATGAATCGTATGGTTTAAATATGGTTTATAGCCCCCCTGTTTATTAATCATATGTTTCTGACTGCGGTATACATTAATTACTGCAACTGCATTACTGCAACAACCATTATTATCAAATGTCCATGGAGTGACATGTTTTCACACACCCTTGATATGGTCATTTGTTCAACTCCTGATGCATTTAACCCTTTTACACTAAGGTGAGGTCAACGAAAGGACACTATGTAATGGGCTATTATTCCTAAACATTCAACAATTTTACTGTCTGGTCTGGTGATATCTTGTCAGCACATCCTCCCCTGTTGCAGATCAGCTGACAGCACTCAACAACTACGCATTTCATAAGTCCGGCACTCAGTCCTCAACCGACCTAACAGCTGATTTTAAACCTGAAGAGGATGGGGATGCCGTTTTGGCAGTGGACGGCAGCATCAGCACATGTTCAAGAACAGGTACATATGAATTGTCATTGTAAGATAATAACCAGCCTAGATTTTCTGCCGAAAAAGACTCCACTTGGCGTAAAGGTCAAATAGCTCTGGAAATTTATATGAATGAAGCACTTAAAATCAGTGATGACAACAGGTGTTCGCGAAAAGGGTATATATATATATATATATATATATATATATATATATATATATATATATATATATATATATATATATATATATATATATATATATATATATATATATTCAAAATAGTAATGAAGTGGTGTTTGAGAACGTATTTTTCAATGCAAATACTCATTAATATCGTTTACAATAACAATTTATAGATGAATAGAAACGTATTTGGAAACAAGCCTATTAAGATACGGACATGTTGATGAAGTAAAAACATCAAACCATAAAACAATGGCATTTGTGAGTGAAGGTAGTTAAATATTATTTACAGTTATTGTTACTGTGTTGCTTTCTGGCATGTTTATGAGATCTTTTTTTGTGCGACGGGGGTAAGACTGTATCACAAGATTTCAGATTTCAAGATTTGTTCACAAGAGCTGTCGAGTGACCTCTCGATCATGTTGTTGTGGAAACCGAAATTAAATTTGCTTATGCGTAATGAAATAGCATAACATTGCATAGCCTTTTTAAGGAACCTATTTTTTCTAGAAGGAAACGCTTAAGCCTCTTTGCGTTTCAAAACAATATTAGTTATTGTTGGACACTCAAATACTGTACAATTCAGCGTGTAGATTCGTGTGGAAACAAATCGAGTTATATTTTGTATTTCTGTCTGAAGTGTATGAAATACTAATGGCATCTCAAATAGATCTAGGCATGAAATGGATATGGTTAATGTATGACTTAGAGATTCAACTTTTCCCTCCGACTGACTGGAAATATCCTATCAGGAAGAATGTGAGACAATAAGCAATTTCAAGATGCTGCAAGAACCTGTTGGGTTGCCTCCCTCGAGAAGGGTGGAAAAAGCTTATTACATAGCTTTGTGGAAAAAAGATGTGTCATTTTGAATTAATGTTTTTATGATAGAGTAACGTGGAGTGTGTTTGTGAAAGATTCCTGTATTCTGGGATGAATATTGTAGTCTAGGTATAATCAATCGATAGCGTATGAAGGGATTGGAATCAGTCACTTACCTTATATTACATTCTCGACAGTTTGAAGGATGGAGCCCGACATTCCTGATAGAATGTATTGGACCAGAGTTTGGTAAGAGAGGATACTGATTTGACTGTATGTCCAGCTTCATCTATCTTCTTACTCCTGCTTATTTAAGCCTGTTATGTTTGATCTACCTCAATGTGCTCCGCTGATCTTCTTGGTATTTCAGACATAGTTTGGGCAGGTCAATAAAAAAAACATTTATTCATGTTTTATATATGTACTTTCTATAGATGCTGAGACCGACCCGAAGTGGCAGGTGGATCTGAGTCGCTTGATTGCTGTACGGAGTATCAGGATATTCAGCAGTAATACCAGTGGTAAGGGAAACAAGCTTATGAATAACTTCAGAATGTTGCCCTATACTTTGAAAAACACTCATTCAATAACTCCTCGTGTATAATGGCTCTCTATAATTGCGTGGATGCGTTTTCGTGGCTTTAATCGACCAAATCACTCTATCTAAAATGGCTAACACAAAGGTCTTATCCATTAAGAGCGAATCTTTTAAAACAAAATCAAACGCTGATTTCCCTACACACTTGAACAAAAATATAACACTGAAAACATATAAGGAGATTATTTCATATGCTTTCATGGAAGTGAAATGTTTTGGGGATGTTTGAAGGATATCAAAATAATGATGGCTGAAGTCTCTCAAGCCAGAGAAGGAACATCTTTCTACGATGAAGAAGGACACATTGTGAATATCGATTTTTTAAAAGCCAGGTCGACGCCAAATCCCTAATCTTTATCGATTATGGTATGTGCGTATGGTCTTCTGCGAAGTATTTAGATAGTAGTATATCTTGTACAATTAGTTTATCGACGCATAACAGTATCTTGTTTGAGGTTGTTTTTCGTAAATTCGGATGGAATAGTATAGATTTGTATTGCTTGTGTTTGTGCTTATTGTTGCTCAAACACATTCGTTAATCCATTCTGTAACATTTTTGGACATAGTTATTTGATTTGAATTCTTGTACGCCAATAATTAACCATTCAGATATATTTCGCTAATACGTCTTGTTTTGAAAAACAATAACAGAATATTAAAATCAGATAATATATACAGCACTTTCATCAATGACCTTGTTGAAGACGCATAACAATCAAACAATGCTTTTTGTATTTTGAATAAAAGAACATGTACACTTAGAAAAGTTAAACACGGACTTGGCTCTGATTCCAATGTGACAAGCTTGGCCTCAACGATCGAAGTGGTACTATTTTCTGCAGAAATGTCACTTCGGTTGTGAATGGGAAATGAATTTTAGAAATCAGAGATATAATGTCATATTCTTGCTTTTCGTCCGAAATTTTGAAACAGCATCTGGGCTCTCCAGCAAACGACCACTCGGCCTTCGCAGATATAACCGTTGATTCATTTCTTTAAAGTCTGGTGAATCTACTTCTGGCGAATAAATGTGTTGATAATGTTTTGGCACATCTTAGGATCAATTTTCCCAATGAGTTATTGTTTTTGTACATGAAGGTCATGATAACAACACAACATTGCCGTGATGCTACTGTTGCTAAGATAGCGCCAATAGCACAACTATCGCTAACCCCAGCCCAGCTGTCATCGTGATATATTAATTTCACGTGTTTATCAAATTTCCATGAATATCTAGATTACATGGTGACTTCTTGTCTATCATCAACACAAAGATGCAGCAATTGTTCACATTTCGCACTTCAATATTATATCATAGTTCTCTGTCGGTGGTAATGCGATGAGAAGGAATGGAACAACCTTCCTCTCACCATATGAACGTGAGATAACTCGTTTCGATGCCTGTCTTTAACAGGAATGCCTGTCTAGAAACCTATTACAACTGCCAATCAATTAGTAATTTATCGAGATATTGCCTGTATCCCGAGAGAGCTCACGCAGGGAGAGGCGAGTGGGTGAAGAATTGAGGTAGACAGCACATGTAAGACTTGAGATATCTAATCAGGCAAGACCTACAGAATTCATATCACTTATTAACTCTTGGAATTTGGACATAGCATAATTTGTGATTGAAAAAGAAGCAATTTGACTAACTTAAGCCTTTAGGGTTTTGGAACTAAGAAAGCACTTCAGATAATTTTGAGTGGTGTTATTGGCTCAAAATGGAGCCTTACATTTTTCCAATTTCAAATACGGCGGCTGGTCAAAAGGTTCTAAATCTAACAAACAAAACCAACAATTGTAAATGTGTTTTTAAATTTTATTTTTCAACGTAATCTACCTGCTTTTTATTTCTCATATCGATAGTGAAGCTTTTCAATTATTCCAGTCAGTTTTCCGAAGCCACCCTGAAAAACCCATTAACGGCAGCTTTGAGGTCGTCATAGCGCTTTCCACGAAGGTGTTCTTTCAGTTAAGGAAACAGGTGGAAGTCACTTGGTGCCAAGTCTGGCGAATATAAAGGGTGAGGCAAGTCTTCAAACCAACATTGTCGCACTGCAGCCTTGGCAAGTCGAGGGGTGTGAGAAGAGGCAGTGTCATGAAGTAGTAGAACTCCAGCAGTCAGCATTCATCGCCGCGTTTCTTTGATAGAATCTTTCGGGCGATGAATACTCACACAATGTACTACATTGACAAGTTCACTTTGAAATATGGCCCATACTTGAAAGTTAGTCAGGCTTTTTGACAAGCACTCGTAATTGATAATGGTGGTACTGTTTAAATATGTACACCGCAACTTAATTTCTGGTACGTGAAATGATGTTATTGTCGAGGGTTTGTTCGAACCCTAGGTTCTCCCTTATAATGATGCTTAGTTTTTCAGCACCATGTCCATGCTCGTGGGTTTTACCAAGGAGGTAAACGTCTAAGATCTGCATCAGTTTGAGCTTGTTTCACTTGTAGCTGACACACACCATGATGCAACTGAAATATTATTGCGGCGTAAAACACAACTCCCTTTTTTGTTATGTTCACACCAAACTGGTGAGGTAAGCAACTTAATGTGTATTTCAGTTCTCCACGATTTTGACGTGTACCTTGGGGTGGCACCACACGCCAGTCACAAGAAACTGTGCTTTCATCACCAAGGCAACGTACATTCTCGTGACACACGGATAGTGTGTGACGAAGCAATGAGTGGAAGGTATGTGATTTTCAAGTTTATGAAAACGAATAGTTTGTTAAGAACAATATATATATGAATATGATAAGCAACATTATCTGTGATTTTATGATATATGATATATGCTAGTGCTGTCGGTTTTACAGGAATAAAACTAAATGCAACTTAATACATAACATTGCTTTATGAACACTTATACACTTCACTATATGTATGGCACAAAAAATGTCCAACTAGGATATATTCAGTGCAGTAAGGGCGGTTTTCATTATATGGCTAATGAAAATCATGATGTAGCATGCATGTCTATAGAGTAGCTGAGTAGAGTTAAACAAAGATGTGTCTATGGTGGTGTCATCCTTCAATCATTTTGCCACTGTCGTCATGCCAATTGCTTCGAAATATAGTAGTAACATGAGTACCATATCGCTATGTAACTATGCCATCAAACTGCTCCGGACATATACCTCTCTGGCTACCAGGTGACAGGTAGACGATGATTATACCTCTCTGGCTACGAGGTGACAGGTAGACGATGATTATACCTCTCTGGCTACTAGAACCACATCGGTGGACGATGAATATACTTTTCCGACCACTAGATCCACTCCGGTAGACGATGAATATCTATTTCTGGCTACTAAAACCACATCGCAACTGTCTAACTTATATTGCTGTCTTCTTAGGGCACATAGTGAGGTGGCACATATACCTCTCTGGCTACTAAAGCCACGCCAAGCTTCCCTTGTCTATCCTGAAGAGCCGCTAAGTATGTACATTCTCAGACTAATAGAGACAGTCTTGTAGATGAGGCCTTTACCTTGTCTTAATACGTGAACCGAACATTACACGACACACATTATACAACCTCTTATTAATATCGGCACCCAGGGCAAGAAAGGTGATATTTAAGTTCCAGGTCGTAGCATAAAGTTGAATGATTTTTTATTCAAGTTTAGATGTCCTGATGCAATAAATCCGCTGGACAACCGCCTTTGGCTAATAAACGTCATGTTCAATATAATGCTATCAAACCATGAGCGAGCACCTCTGGAACCAGCTTACATGGTTAAGATTTGTACGGTTGGCATTTGATGCGGTATATTTGCAACACGAACATACTGTAATTGGTCGTATGTCGAAACCCATTGCTCCACTGATATACATCCCACCAATCAAGTCTAACCTTACAGCTATTTCATGTAATGTTCTTCAATTCGCTTACTGTTGAAGTCACACATGCATATAATGATTAGCTCAGAATGTAGTGTAAGTCAAAGGGGCAATCTACCCGTATCATGTTTTATTCATCATCCGCATTGATAGAGGGATCATAGAGAATTCGTTTGCTGTAAGATGGACTTGGTCGTAAGATGATTTAATCAATAGACGACATGAGTGGAGTAATGCGCTGTTGCAATCGATTTCATCATTATCGGATCAATAATTTACTAGTTATATGACTGATTAGCTGCAGGATCAATAGCAGACAGATAATGAGCTAATTTGGTCAGTGGTTGAATATAATCTCATATCGCCTGACCTTGTAGGACGTGTCCTTGCAAACCTAATACAATGAAATATACCGGCTAGAGTCTGGCTTAACTTCCCCAAAAGACGTTTGGACATCTGCATAAATCACAACACACATTAATGTCTCACTGAGTAGTGTTGGTTTCTGTTGAGTCTACAGAGATTTATGTAGCCTCGACGATACATTCTACCAACGTTTATGTCGCTATGATCATGACGATGTCCAACTGAGATTGTGCCAATGATCGTGACGATATCCCGACGATACTATCACTATGACCATAACGATATCCCGACGATACTGTCACTATGATCATGACGATATCCCGACGATACTGTCAATATGACCATGACGATGTCCCGGCGACACTGCCATTATGACCATGACGATATCCCGACGATACTGTCACTATGACCATGACGATATCCCGACGATACTGTCACTATGATCGTGACAATGTCCCAGTGATACTGTCACTAAGACCATGACGATACCCCGACGATACTGTCACTTTGACCATGACGATGTCCCAGCAATACTGTCACTATGACCATGACGGTATCCCGACGATACTGTCACTTTGACCATGACGATGTCCGAGCGATACTGTCACTATGACCATGACGATGTCCCAGCGATACTGTCACTTTGACCATGACGATGTCCCAGCGATAATTTCACTATGAACTTGACGTATCCCAGCTATACTGTCACTTTGACCATGACGATGTCCCAGCGATACTGTTACGATGTGCATAACGATGTCCCAGCGATACTGTTACTTTGACCATGACGATGTCCCAGCGATACTGTCACTTTGACAATGTCGATGTCCCAGCGATACTGTCACTATGGCCATGATAATGTCCGAGCGATACTGTCACTTTGACCATGACGATGTCCGAGCGATACTGTCACTATGACAACCATTACGATGTCCCAGTGATACTGTCACTATGTCAACCATGACGATGTCCCAGTAATAATGTCACTATGACCACCATGACGATGTACCAGCGATACTGTCACGGTGTGCATAACGCTGGATCAGAGACACTTTCACTATGGTCACGACGATGGCATTGATATTATACGTGCCCCAGTCTCCATGAGCGTATAACTTTTTTAAACGATACTTGATTTATGGTCGTAATGATGTCCGAACGGTGCTGTCCAAGTGATATTGTTTCTATAAATGCGTCAGTGTAGGGCATATCAACGCTTGTGTTTCACTAACCCCTGTAAATCTATGACGTGTCATCAGTGATGCATATGACCCTATTCTGGTGGAGAATGCCCTATTTAGTATTTGCCATTCGTGGACCTGACGAGAAATTCTTCAGAAATTCAATAACGTTCTTTGAATGAAAATGACCGGTATTTACATTTCCCTCATGTTCTTTTTTCTCCGGCGCAATTTGAGTTCTGCTTATTCAGTCAATATCACTGGAACAAATACACATACCTCTATAAACACTGTAACTGCTTCTGTCAGTAATGTCTCGGAACAGTTAAATTGGAAATCAATGGACATTATGTGGAATTTCCATACCCACTGAAATAAACATGTAAACTCTCTCTTTCAGCATTATGCTGTTGTCTCATGCGCAGTGTGCCTTCACTACTTCATACCAATTGTTCTTTATGACTGCGTCATCGTCTTTCTTTTCATTGACTCCACGAACAGCTGCAAGATTGCTGATGCAACGTTTAAGCAACACCCACTCAGTCAGTGTTGTTTTATTTCAAACTGAAACAGGACAAACTGGGTTGCAAAATGTCACTTATTGTAAGTTGCATGTGTTAGTCTGTCATGGGTGCTGTCAGCTCATTTCCGAGGAAAACCTCATAACAGACTCAAGATGCAGTAGTATATAAACTGTAAGCAATTGGCCTTTCTTGTGTTTATATTCGTAACAATAAATTTCAGATCATGTCTATAGGATTTGGATGTCTGTCGAGCACAGATAATAAAAGCGACAAAAGCCTCTCCATATTCACGAGCATGTGTTTTTACAGGACACGCTCACCTGTTCGTGAACACCTGGTATCATCACTACTTGATAGTGATTCATGAACACATACTCTTTATATAGTCGGAATCCTACATACAGTTTTTGGCAGAGCTTTTTTTATGAACATGGAAAGGGTTTTGTCGTTTTTATTCATTAATCACTACCAAATAGTGATGATACCAGGTGTTTGCGAAAAGGTGAGCGTATCCTGTTCCGCCTGTGGCACTGTCACAAACACTTGCAAAGGCAAGTCAATTGTTCATCTAGAAAACCGTCAAAATAAGGAATAACACCCGACATCCTTATTGTCACTGATGCATCAAATTTGAAATGTCCTGCACATGTCCTTAAAACCATTTGACAGCTCTACTGAGGCCTTGAATGTTGTAATCTTGGTCCATCAACTTCTGAGCAAGAGGTGTATGACGCTCTTTGAAATCGTGGTATAAAGAGCATGCTCGATTGTACCTCAAAAGTTGTGAAATGAAGACACCATGGGAATTAATAGTATTTTTTAAAGAATTATTTCGATTTCATGTTCTTCTGCCTGAAAAACATTTTCATTTGTGTCTCGGTCTAATGGAAGTGAAATAAGTGCTCTTTATTTCGCGAACACCCGGTGTCATTAGCAGGAATAACATATTTATTTAGTTGAGTTAAAAAGTGCCATTTTTGTTATTTCTTATCACAGTTGTATTGCTGTTTCAGGTTTCTGACGATCGTTCTACGAACCAGTGGCTACAAGCTGGAACATTTAGTATTGTGTGAGGTCATGGTGTTTGGAAGGTGACGTCATACACGTGACATCCGATGTCGTACTTATTTTCTGTCACGTGCATTCATGCACTTGGATGACACAGAAGTGAAAACTATCAGATTGACCGAGGACATGATTCAAAGAAGCCAGACACCCTATCCAGACTCGGCAGTGATGTAGTTGTCCCAAAGGCGCCAGAAACATGAAGTCTTGTCGAAAGACCTCGCTGCCTTTCCAACGGTGTTGCTTTTGACATTCTCTGAGGGAGACAGTTCGGTATGGAATTGTGACATCTGTATTCTAAAGCGAAATCAAGTATATTGAGCTTTGTATAACTGTAACGGACAGTGTGACAGAGACTGTACCCGTATAGTCCGGAATTGCACCAACGTACCACAAATACGTGACACTATCGCACGCAAATCAACAATAAAGGTCGTGTTAAGCTACAGTAACTTAATATTGTCACAAACTGTACCATTTCAGAGACCCTGCAAAGCTATCCGTACTGGACCTTCACTAAAGAGGTCGATACATCCTTGTATGTGTAGGAACAGATGCCTTCTGTGTTTGTAATCGCAGCATTTTGTGCGAACAACGGGATATAATATACACTTTATGTCAATATTATTTTTCAAAATCCGGTGTATATATTTTATATTATGTGTTTTATATTGTCCATTTAGATGAATATTAGATCCACAATGGCTTGCTGGAAGAATTGTCTTGGTACCACAGACTGGGAAATGTGTCGACATGTGTCATTAGATCTTTATGTGTCTTGAGTTTCTTCACACGCCATAGACATGGTCAAATAGTGTACAACAGGCCACGTACATTGTACTACACGCATAATTCCTCCTGTTTTCTTTCTTTTCTCCCGGTATGCCTGATGTATCCAAAGCCTAGATGTAACATTGCTACGCATGCGTTGTATTTGCCCAGGGTTACACGAACCATCCCGATGTCAAGGAGCCCTCTGGTGACACTCTCCTGTGGGGTGGTCTTCAACTGACTTGGTTACAGGTACCTGCCCCACGTGGAATGATTTGAGTGTGAGCTTTCTCTCACTCATGACCGCCTTGTCACGTTTACTTTTCTGACACCTGTAATCCATTTTGTTCCTGAATAACAGGTTTCTGTGGCTGCTCTGTCTCAGTTCGTGTACATTCATGTCGAGATAAGTGTTTGGTGCTACCAATCATGTCGTAGTTCCTTTCATGGCATCTTCGTTTATCCAGTGTATTATAATCTTCCTTTTTTTGTGATAAATATCCTGGACCCGCTCTCAAAACTTTGTTTCGGAAGTGACGTCACCACATCCATTTCATGTCATTAGATTGGACGACTATTTTTAGCGCTGTGTCACCGGTCTCAGTACGTTGAGCCAAGGTCGCGCATGTTCCCAGGGTATTAATCATAATATGAGGCTATTGTACCCTGGATAATCGAGGATGGTTTCATGGTTGCCTTTTAATGTTCATTATTACAAATGCCTATGGTGTAAATACAGCTTTTTGTACGAAACAACGCACTGTGTTGGGATGATATAACATATATTAATCGTGCTTTGTTTAACTTTGTTTAAGCAGTGGTTAATTAATTATGGATTCGTACAGCTGAATCATCAACAGAATAATCTAAATTTGCGATGATATTGCCGTTGTTGTTGTCTGTCTCATTTAACTGATCGGGGCCCAGTCGTCTAAGGCGATTCACTGTGCAGAGTTTCGTCCCTTGGTTGCGCCAGAAACCTATGATTGTGGGTTCGAATCCCGGTTCACCCTAATTATGTTTCTAGGTTTGTCAGCACCATATCCGTGCTTGTTGGTTTCACGAATTGATAAACGTCTGAGACCTCCATCACTTCGGGTTTTTCTCCCACATCAAGCTGGCACGCCGCGATGTAGCTGGAATAATGTTAAAAGCGGTGTTAAACCCAACTCACTCACTAATTTAATTGCGAAACGTAAATCCGTCTGTCATGCCCATCAAGCATTACTTATTGACAAAATATGGTTACTAACTCAAGAGTATCTTCATGTGTTTGATGTATGAGTTCAAATCCACAAATAAATCCCGATTATGACCCTTCGTCCGTCACCAACTTGCAAGTATTTGGCTAAACGTGTACAACACTGCCAGTCTTGGCGACACAAAGATGATACTCTGAGACTGATATTCTGATCAAAAAGATGTTAAGCCCAGCCAACTCAAGCTGTCATATGAATCAATGTGGCTAACAGGATGCCCACAGCTGTTCAAATGCCATCACACTCAGTGCGACCACTATGGGACGAGTGTGGAATATGAATGATAGTGTTAACATTAACGTTGACGTTCTCGTGCAATAAGAATATTACATGTTGTGTTTGTGCCAAAGAAAATCTACTAAAATAATAATAATTGTTGGAGAATGTTTCTCATATTCCATAACACATGAAAGTCATGTTTAATTGTCCAATGATGTGTAACTTAAATAAAAGTTAACCAATATACAAGGTTATATTATATGACTGTCTTTCACTTTAGATTTCATGTTCGAATAAATTTTACTCATGAAAAATACAGATATGTTAGGCACTCATTTCAACTATGTTATATCTTCAGTAACCACGAATTGTATACACGTAACCTGGGTACAAACACCCTCCACAAGCATATTACAATACAATATTGTACATTCGACTGTTTTTCTCCATTCCACGTATGAGGAAACTATGAACAAATATTAATTTAATAAAACTGTACAAAGGAAATATTTTTGTGTCTGTTTTTGTTCTGGTTTGTGGACTGTTGTGGACAGCTATATGAATATGCATGTACAGGTGATATTCGTTTCTTTTTCTTACATCGTTAACAGTTGTAACAAGGTGATTTCCTTACTGAAATGCAGATGTTGAGCCAAAAAAAGGTACGCACACAACTAAATTCTGACAAATTTAAATGACTGCACAAGATCAATAAATAATCAATAAATTATACTGAAGCACTCAGTTTTAGGTTTACAATCAAAACGGCAATACAATGTAGCAAGTAAGTAGCTGGATCAATAAGTTACAGGCCCTAGAATTAATGTTGGTGCACTCAAAAGACTGTCGATGCTGAATGCCTTGAAATAGGCCTGTCTGCGTTCTTAAATCCAGAATAGTGATGGAAGCTGGTAGGAATTTGGTAGAAATTCAATGGTTTCCAATCCGCACTAGGCAAGTAGATTAGAAAACAACGTCAGGTTTAAAAGCCCTCATGTCGCTCTAATATAGATACAGCCAGCCATGTGGAAACTGTCCCATCCAGAAACTCCGAGAACAATCAAGTCGTGGTCGTGTAGACACTAATGCAGATAACTCTGCTTCTAGTACAAAACATTTCCAGAAAACACATTTCGCTGTTGTCGATTGCGGTTCCACGGTTGCCCATAATGGACATAGAGTCCAATATTTTGATATTTCACTTACTTTTATCGTAACCTTTTGCAAATTAACAAGGTTTGTCATACAAATATGTGATAAATCATGTATAAAGTAGATATTGAATCGCTGAAAAGTGATGCGAAAATGTCGAAAACTAAAATGAAAATACAGAAAAGTATTTCCACCGCGGTGTAAATAGTTTTCCCGCGGTGGAAATACTTTTCTGTATTTTCATTTTAGTTTTTGACATTTTCTCTTTTGTTTTTGACATTTTCGTTTTTGTTTTTGACTTTTCATCTTAGTTTTTGACCTTTTCGTTTTTGTATTCAACATTTCCAATTTTGTTTTTGACATTTTTGCTTCACATTTCAGCGATTCAAGAGCCTCTTCAAAGTCCATTTTCCATGTTTTTTGGTTGTTTTTATACATGATTTATCACATATTTGTATGAAAAATTGAGTTAATTTGCAATGTGAAATATCAAAATATTGAAAAACAGACTCCATGTTCCTCATGGGCCACCGTCAGTACTTGAATACACTTTTACTTCATCATTTGCTTCCACTAACCCCAAATATATTTATAACAGTTTTTACCGCCACTAAACAGAACGTACATTAAACGAAGTCAAAGTATTTTACATGTTCTTTGAAAACCGCTGAAAACATCGAACATACTCCAATATGTAGTCATGTTTTTAAGGTTTTTAAGGTTCCGTCTCGTTCAATAATAATAGGGGCGGTGGGCAGTCTAGTGGTTAAAGCGTTTTCTCATCACGCCAAAGACCCGTGTTCGATCCCTATGGGTACAATGTGTGAAGCCCATGTGGCTCCCCCGCCGTGCTGTTGCTAGAATATTGCTAAAAGCGGCGTAAAACCAAACTCACTCACTCACTCACAATGTGTGAAGCCCACGTGGCTCCCCCGCCGTGCTGTTGCTAGAATATTGCGACAAGCAACAACTTTCCATGAAAACAGCAATACTGGTCATCTTCACATTTGCTTCCAATTACTGGTAGTCCTGCAGCTATCGTGGCATATAAACATACTCCATCATTCATTGCTCTATTTCAAATAATTGTGATCGTGAAGTAAGCTGGGCGTTATTCAAGACATTACTTCAGAACATCCAATCATTGAAACTGATATTCATCTTTTCATTATCTAATAACAGTTTAAAAGTTTTAATAGTAGACGTTACATTAACCTGTTACCAGATTTCAAAAGACAATGTTCCAAGTCCTCCACTTCATTCCAAACAAAGGCGAAAGGTCCTCCTTGCAGCTGTACATCATCCTCCCTCCCGTCGCTGTCTCGGATTGATCCATCGCCTGTCGTATATTCCCGCAATACCGAGGAACCTGATTCATTTTATTTTTTGTAATTTGTAGTCGTCAATAACATGGGCTAGCTAACAGTCAGTCATCCTGCTGAATAGTTCCATATATCACCAACTGCAGTATGACCAAGTTCAGGACAACTGTAGACACTTGTTTCTTCAAATGTCGTAATTTCGAAACAAAAGACATTAATGTATAATGAGGAGGAAAATGTTATACTTGAGCTTTCACTCAACTCTAATTGTAGCTCGAGGCAAGAGTTTGAGTCTCAATGTGTAACCGTATTTGGCGACATATTCTGAACCTAGTTGCCACAAGGAAATTTGTTCTTAGAAAACATTTATACAGATGTTGGTATCGGATCCAAAGAACAAAACATATACTGTAAATCTTGTAATTAATGTGCGTCCAAATTAATACGACTGCTGACCCTCAGCCAAAAATGCGTCTCTCTCTCTCTCTCTCTCTCTCTCTCTCTCTCTCTCTCTCTCTCTCTCTCTCTCTCTCTCTCTCTCTCTCTCTCTCTCTCTCTCTCTCTCTCTCTCTCCTCGCTGTACATTAACAATTTGACATCTTTTGCTGCTTTATCATACCTTGTGAGTAATTGACTTATTTCTGCTTCTCGGGACACAAGGCGCACACGTCACCGTACAGAGCTGTTTTCTTAGGCGAGCAGGAAACCTTTAATTGTGGGTCTACATCCCAGTTCGCCCTGATTATGTTTCTAGGTTTGACTGCAGCATACATCCCTGCTCGAGGGTTCCACCAATGTGTCGAAGACCTGCATCACTTCGGGATCGGTCCATCGGGAAGCACAAACATTTTAAGCAATTTTAGCGCTAATATATTCATAACCGTTTTAATTGGATTTATGAACCTACCCTGGAATAGCAGGTACAGAATGTCCGGAGATCTGAGTATATGAAAAAACTACTCTACTTTCAGTGTTTCGTGTTTTTTATAGTTTGAATGATAACTGCATTCCGTTTGACAGCGTAACTCATATAATGTGATACAAAGCGAACAGTTAACTACTGCTGACACTAAACTTGATGTCATCACTGATTTGCGGTGACCCACTCATATACTGTTCACTATTTTGCCTTTCACGCTCAATGGAATCTGTTTCGGCAGATAATCCAGACTGATTATTCTCTGGCGTTGAGGTCTTATATTTATCTTTGTCTGCTCAATACTATGTAAACGAAATGAGGCTCATTGGCACAATCTTGAAGTTATCTTCAAATGCTCATGACAGACCTGACTGCTTATTTGAAGCCGTCGAATTGAATATTGTGCAGAAATCACCGATTCATCTTACATCGGCGCTGTTATCAATTCCCCAAGGTGTCACTCACATGTGTGTTGTAGCATCGCTCAGTCATTTACTGGCAACTGTCATGACTAGAGTTTTGATGTGTGTATTTTCGGGTGGTGGCGTGTGTACGATGTATAGCAATAATCACTTAGTGGAAAAACTAATTAGTCTGTGGGCGGTGCTCCAGTGCGCTTTTGACAGTGACGCTCGACTTGTCTCGATAACCGAATAAGCTGAGATCTCCAGCGTTATTCCCAGGACGAAATGGACGGAATATATCTCCGACACACACCCGGTGTTTATCCAATACTGTTACGCCCAAGCTGCTCATGATATCACGCAGATTTCATTTTTCTCTTGCATTAATTTATTAATCATGAAAGCACCAACATTGCAGTGTCAATAACAAAATTTAAGTGCGGAGATAATTGGTTATTTTTTTGTCAGAGTCAAAAGAGTAGTTAGCAGCTTTGGGACAAACAATTCCTTCTTTCTTGACGATAATGTGTACATTTTAGTATATAAGAGTCTATTGGCATAAAGAACAATAAAAGATTGTCAGCGTCATTGCCATTGTCAATAATGACAACAAAATAATAATCAATTAAAAGAAAAAACAAACTGATGTAATTTATGTGGCTTAATAATTTTGAAATAACCGAAATGGGGATTCATAAATGTGTAGGAAAAGCGCTTTTAGAAAGAACGAAAGGCTAAGTGTAAGGACGACCGCCGACGAAGCCAAACCT